CCTAGTTAAAATAAACTACCTCAATTAGCACTAATTCGGATTAACTAATTAAATCAATACATTCAAATTAATATAATTCATTTAAACCTAATTAATCAACTAACAACTAATTTAAACTAACCCTAATTTAAATTCAAATTAACATAATACAATTCATCGTAATTAAATTAACTTAATTAATCAACCGATAACTATTTTAAAGTAACCCTAATTTAAATTCAAATTGACATAATACAATTCATTCTAATTAAATTAACCTAATTAATCAACTAATAATTAATTTAAATAACCATATTTGAAATTAACCGAATTTAATTAACACTAATTCAGATTAATTAATTATATTAACAAAAAATCTTAACAACTAAGAAAAAAACAAATTAACTAATTAATCAAAACTAACTTTATAATTAATACAAATAGCTAATGGGTATGAAAAAATTAGAAAGAGAGCACTAACAATGGGGGAAAGCAGAGAGAGGATTGAACGAGTGAAACTCTCGATTTTTTTTAGGAGAGAGAAGTGTCGTGTCCGTTGAAGGATGCCGGGAAGGGACTCGGAGTCTCCTTAGGTGGTGATTTTGGGCTTGGCGATAAGAGGAAGAGAGGAGGAGAAGAGGAGAGGGAAAGAAGAAAAAGAAAATGGGAAAGAAGAAGAGTTTCTATCGATTTAGGGATTAAGAATTAATGACGAGTGCGATTTCGTTTCTAATCCATCGTTAATTAGCAAGGGATTTAAGTGTCCGCCGTGAATGCGAATTTAAATTTATCATTTTAGTTTCTAAAATTTTTAGAAATGGGGGAAAGTAACTACTTAATGACGGTTCATGCGATTCCGTCACCAATCCATTGCTAATTAGAGAGGGATTTAAATGTTTATCGGTAATTTGAATTTCAAACTAACACTTCATTTTTGGGATTTTCAGAAAAGTAAATTAGTGATGGAATTGCTATTCCATTGCTAGTTTTCATCACAAATACGTCACTATTTCGTTGCTAGATTAAGTGTGTATTTTTCCCACGCTAGTTAGCAATGAAACACTATCCGTCGCTAAATTTTCGTTGCAATTCCATCACAATTTTGTTTTGAAACTTATTGATCACCATTCTATAGCCAAACCGTCGGTATTTAGCGATGGTTTTGTGTCCCTCGCTAATTTTTTATGCTAATTCGTAGTTTTCTTGTAGTGAAATAACATCAACTAAGCTTTTTCGATTACCTTTAATCTATATGGTATCTTATTCCTACTTTATTTTGACCATCAAAATACTATGAATCTTAAAAATTAGGTAAAAAGTCAATAATAAAAATTTTAAAATAATAAAATTATATCTAAATTTATCAAATTATTAAATCGGATTCATGATTTTTTTTATATATACATGGGATTCTTGGTTATTGTCTTACATTATCCTTGACTCTTTTAAACATAAGGATTCTTAAAATTTTTATTATTCTTTTTTGTAACTGTTCTAATATTAAAATAAGAATTCTCTAAATCAAACGATTCATAAAATTTACATTTGTACCTATATTTTTAATTTCTATTCATCTCAAATATAATTAAAATTCAAAAACTAATAAACTATATCAAAATTTAGTAAATTATGAAATTGAATCTTACTAATATTTTTATGGGACCCTTGGTTATTGTCGTATGCTATCTTTTACCTCTTTGGAGAAAAATATTTATACATTTTGACAAACTAACATTAAAAAAAGAAAAAACTCTTTAGTCAAAATTTAGTATTTTTTTTTTAAATATCTATATCATTAATATTTGAACCACACATATTAAAAAAAGACATCTTTTGGTCAAAACATTTTATTGTAACTAATTATGCTTATTAATATAGATGAAACAATAGATATTTTATTTATTATACAAGTAAAATATTCCATAGAATTTCGCATTAATGGAAGGTGATTACATCAATTGATTGCTTAATTATTTTATGGCTTCTATGGAAAGTAAATATTATTTGTATTAGGTGGCTGACAATTTATGTCTCACAATGTAGTGCCTTTTTTTTTTTCCCCTTCCTAAAACAATGTTAGGTACTTTCTTTTCTTTACCAAACACTCTATTTTATGACTTATATAACAAAAACAAATATTATATGGATTTGATGCATAACATGTTACAAACTTATAGCTTATGATGTGTATAAAAATTTTCAATTTTATGTTATTGTTATTTTCAAAATAAATATTTTAATTTAAATATATACTAATTAATTTAGGAGAAAAGAAAAGGAAGATAGAAATTGATCAAAATATGACTTGGATCAAAATTAAAAAGACACTTTGTCATGATACGAACTTCTGTGTAATAGTGCTAATTAGTTGTTAAAAAATAATCAATTTATTGAATATATGAAAGCATTAGCATTTGGTGAAACAGTGCTACTTATATTTTTTGTCCAAAACTAGTATTCAATTAAGTTCTGCTCTTTTTTGGCAACAAAAAACATAACTCTATGAAGGAAAATTGATCTAATTTTGAATCAAAGTTAGGCACCTCCTACTTTTAACTAGAAGCAAGAAGATTTTTACAAGGTCCACTACTTTTAATTAAATGAAAAAAATTACATCCTTTAAAAACATTGCAACTTTTTCTAATGCTACTTTAACTCACAAAGTTAGGTTGCTTTTTTCCTTAGAAGTTTTGATAGGGTTTGCTAGTTTGGTTCGTATGAAACATGAATTGTGCTTAGGTTATTTGTGATTGTGGAATTGAATTTGTAGTTGAATGTTTTGCTTAATAAATTTGGATTCCATTGAATTTATGGGTGTTTGAGTTTGGTTTTTGTTGATGTTTTTTGTTTGTAGATTTTGGTTTTAGTTGGTTGCTAGTGTTGTTGATTTTGGCTTTATATTTTCTTTACAAGACAGTTGTCAACTTAGTATCGAGCCTAGGTTAGTTTTTACATGTTTGTTTGACAAAATTGTGTGAAGATGCTTTTGAAAAAAATATCCAATGAACTTAATGGACGAGGTTGAGATACGGAAAAGATTGCACTTTTGAGACAAAGAAATGAAGAGGTTGAATGGAGAAACTAAAGAAAGGAGTTACAGCTAATCGAGGAGCAATTTGAATGGATCAAGTGTCAAATTGACCTCCTTCCGGACAATGATTTTGAAGATGAAAATTATAATTTTGAGGCGGAACATTTGGATGTTAAGGGTGAAAATTTGGATGACTCTAGTTCCTTTATCTATTGGAATTGACCTCCAAAATTTGATGAAGGCCTATTTGATGGATGTTGAACTCACCAAATTTAAATTACTTTACTAAACTTACGGAATTCATAGTACTTGCAAGTCCAAGTCGAATTCTAAAGGCTAGTATGTCAATTATATTAACTTGTGTGGGGGGGTGGTAGTTTGGTGTGGCTAAATTATGAATAAAATAGAAATTAAATAGGAAAAACTTCAATTCAAGAGAAATGGCACTTTTAATTTGCAAATTGATTATATACACCTAAATTACTATCTTCTCATCAATACTTAGCCTAGACTTACCTAGACACTAGAATAAATTCGAATCTTTCCTACATTTATTAATTCAAAACCCAAGCACTCAAATTAAATTCTTATTATCAATTAATTTTGGCATTCGAGCAACCTTAGTCTAATTAGTAATAACATTATAAATTAGAAAGAAGCTAAGAGTGAACAATAATTTTAAGACACTTAAACTATTTAATTCATTTTTTGTTTCCCTTAGGTAGTCATCGAAACTAAGATCATAATAAAAAAAAACCTAATTTGCTACTTGTACTAACTTTTTATAACAAATATAGATTAATAAAGTTAGTTAGTGATCAATTACAATATGTAGTCAACTAATAGGCCTCTTAAATAATTATTTATGCAATTATAATTAATTAAATTTAGATATCAATTAATTAAACTCAAAGAAACAAAAGATATCTAAATCATAAAGAATAGTTTAAAGATTAAACTCGTACCTCATAATCTTGTGCGAATTAAAGATGAAATTCTTTGAACTAAATTAAGAAAATTAGTCGGACATTATATAGCATAAAAACCCTAAACCATATGAAAAAGCTGTGTGTGTGCGTGCACGCGTATGTGTAATCCCTTTAAAGTGATATTAAATGCTATTTATATATGTAAATAGGTAAGTGTGACAACTAATAACCCAAGTTGATAGACTTTACTTCAAAATAAGACTCGAAGGATGAGACTTATTATGTGCTGGAACTTCTCAAATGATTTCGTATTAGTTGATGGATGACTTTAGATTTAGATTTTTTATGAAAGTTTTTGTTTCGGATATTTTATTTTTATTGAATTTTGAATCACTTTAATTCAATATCTAGAACTCCATATATAGTTCAAATACTAATTAGTATTCTAAATTGTTACAAGATTCGAATTTCGACTTGATATTATAACCGCCTTTAATAGCTCAAATAAACTTGGGTATATGCATTTAAATCTAAATTAAAAAGTTTAATATAACCAATAATGGTGCAAAAAATAAGGATGATAAAGCTGACAAAGAAGTTGGTGAAAGGAAAGTCAATGATGCTGACTTTGGTAGTGTTGAAGGTACCAAAAATTCCAGACAAGGAGTTGACATTGCTGCTAACTTTGATAATGTCATATTACCTAACTTTTCAACAACAAAGTCATCGTTGCTGCTGCCAATGAAGACCTAGCCGAGGATGGTGATCACAACAGCCATGAAACTAAAATTCAATAGGGAAATGGGTGATGATGCCAAAAAACCTTGCTGGAGACAAACAATATGTTATTTGGTTGAAAATAGTTTGTTGATTACATTCAATGCAAGAATGTCAAAGGTCGTCACACTGCTGTAGGTACAAGGACGTTAATAGAGGGTGTAATAAAAGGAGTACTAGTTAGTGAGTTTCAAGTTGATGATGAAGCAATAAATCTCTTGGGGTAGTTGCTAAAGCAAACACCAAAGGCAGAAGGAAGCAGACAGGCTTCAAACTTGTAGGAGATGAACAGCTACTACGAAATTAATCTTGTTGCACCTGATCATAAAGTCAAGGCATTGAAAGAAGTTCCATACAATTCCAAGAGAAGTTCCACTACAAAGAAGATATCCCTACAGAATGATAGGAGTTTGTAATCTTCAAACAAGCCAGAACCATGGTAACTTGATGACAGTTCAAAAACAAAAACAGTGATAACGTTGCGCAAACAACACCAAGGCATAAGCAATTTAAATTGCTATCCACATCCAGCTAATACGATTGTTCAACCTGAAGACCATGATTTCTTTCCAATGAGAGCTAAGACAGAGGCATTAATGGTAGTAGAAAACACTGGTTCAGAGGTTAATCCAACATGGGGTAGGGATTACAGAACACAAGCTTATTCACTTATGGATGATCCGATGAACTTGGGAAGACGATCAACTTCGAATTATATGCGCTTGAGGTATTTTGATTTGTATAGATTGCATTCTTAGGTTGGGGAGGTTCACTGAATTTACTGATAGGCGGAACCAAGAGAGTACAAGTGAAGCAGTGAATGCATACTATTCAGCAGCTTTAATGGGGTTAGCATATAGAGATACCCATCTTGTTGCTGCATGTTCATTACTTGCTACATTGGAAATTTACATAGCTCATATATGGTGGCAAGTAAAAAATAGAAGTGGAAATACTTTGTTGTCAAAATATGCCTTCAAACATCAAGTTACAGACAACCCATGCACAATCATGGATAAACAACTGGTAAAAGCTATTGTTGTAGAGGAGGTAGTGCTGGATAGAGTCGAATCTTCGATAAAAGGAGTGGCAGCTACTGTAAAAAACGAGAGGGGGTAGAACTACTAATCAGGGTAGAAGCTATGAAACATGTGAAGAAGGGTAATGGTTTTGCAGTAGTTCAAAGCTGCTATAGTGAAATTATGATTTCACGTACTAATCCACATAAACTACTGTACAAAACATTGCATTTGTAAATAAGTTGCGATTAAACAAAACCGCTACCTAAAAAATGTTTATACAATGGTTTAGAATTGTTACATATAAGATTTTTATACTCTCCAAAATTTTATTAACCTGCTAAACATATCTCAATTTTCTCATTCTCTCCTGCAAAACACATCTCAACTCTCTCTCTCTCACAGTTTCGATCGCTCCTATTTCGTCAATCTATCACTTGATTTTATTAACTCTTAGTTTAGATTTCAGTCTTAGCAATTATAAATTAAGGAAAAAGTTCTTGGTTTTCTGTTAAAGATTGGACGAAATTCTATAAGGGCAAAAGTTCTATCTTGTTTCAGATATGTAATTATCTTTCAATTTCTCTCCCTAGGTCATGATATTGTACGTAATTTTCTTTTAATTCCTCTTTCTAAGGCTAAATATTGGATTTCTCTCCTTACTTATTGAATTTATGCTGCTTCAAAACTTGATTTTCAGATTTTAGTGACTGATTTTATTGAATTTCTTTCGTTAACAAATTAGTTTTCGCACACTAATGTCATATTTTACTCATTTTCTCTTCTGGATCTACTTAGTTTTAGTCTTCGTGTAGATTCTGGAGCTAAAGAAGGTCTTTTTATTTTTTATTTTTTCTGTTTCTCTTACTGTTTGTTTCACTGGTTTCAATTTTAGTTCACACTGTTTGTTTTGCTACTAGGCAAATAGGGAAATAGGCAAAAGCAAAGGATTTTCTACTGAATTTTTACTGTTTCAGAACTTGATATTCAGGTTTCAGTGACTGATTTTGATAAATTTCTCTCTTTAACAAATGGGTTTTCGCATACTGATATCATATTTTACTAATGTTCTCTTCTGGCCATGCTTAATTTGTGTTATTTATTAATGTAGTGCTGATTTTATCCTCTGAGACATTGGAATATTTTCTCTTAACTTTTATCATGCCATGAATCTTCTTAAGCATATACGTGTTTTTCCTTGAGTGATATGTTTTCTCTGTCATATCTTCTAGCTCCTCATCCAGGTCATCAGATTCAACTTCCTGGGTTTGAGCTGGTTGAGTTACAATCTGCAAAATCTTTATGCTTGTGATTTCACGGTGGATTAGTTGATGCGTAATTAGTGCTTAAAGCTATCAAAAACATGGTGTCTCTACATGCTTTCTTGGATTTGGGTAACCTTATATTAGTATGGAAAAGAAAACAAAGCAATGAGAGGCATGGATATATGTCTGACTAGAGATAAATTTAAAAGCGATAAAGCTACTTTAGGGAGATGATTTGGACCTCACTATAGGTTATAAACGTCATGTATTGACAAGCATCCTGGAATGAACCATCAATGATGAGATAAGGCTAAACATAACAAATCCAAGTTGAGAAACTGGGCTAGCTTTGCGTCTTGTATCCATTTTACACACGCTGATATTTGTCTTATCGATGATATTTGTCCAAGATCCATTAAATAGTTAAGACTTGATAGCTGTAATTGTAAGGACAGATGATAGATCAAATGCATAACTTTGTAACATGTAGATGGTTAATTTTGTATGTTTTGCTAGGATTTTGGTTTTCAGTTCTCTATTTTGTTCTTACTGCAGTCACTTTACCCTTTTTCTACCTTACTCCATGTTTTAAAGAGCTTTTGGGGTTGGTTTATTTATCAGAATGTAGAGTTATATATGATTGTGAAAATTGCTAGAACTTGATTAAGCTTATATGTTACCAAAACCATTCTCTGCTTCCCAATTTCTGGCTGAGTTTCACTTTTTAATACTTCAGTAGTTTGATTCCCTAAACTCTGTCAAACCTGAGGAAAAATTAACTTAATCACCCACATCAATGGAAACAATACATAAAAGCTACTGTCAAAATTGATTCCAGTGAAGTTGGAGGTTAGGAAATTTGAGATGCGAAACACTGTTGGATGTGTTGTTGATGCAAATTCCATTACCGTAAGCATTTTAGGAGCTGCACATCCTGCCTAATTCGTTTCGTAGACATGCTTTCATAATCAACATGTGCTCTTTGATATGTTGAAAATTTCTCCTTCCTTTACCTAAATCCTATTATCTTAGGCTTTCATGATTACCATGGGTTTTCCTTATAAGACCAAATATAATTGAAATGGATTTATGGGTTCCGTTAAAATTAATGCTATTGCACTTTCTGATCTAATCCATTCCAGTCAAACCCGTTGGCATTTTTGGCCAAAAGAAGCAACAAGGACATCAATTAGGCATAAGTTTTAGAGGAATGATTTGTGTCTGGTACTGCACATGAATCTATATAGATGCAGTTGAACTAGGACTGGGATACATTAACTGCAGCCCAAATTTTCTCATTCAAACTCCACTATACCATCTCGCATTTTTGAGTTAATTCGTACTTTTCGGAGAAGCCAAAATCAAAATAGGGGCAGCCGGCACATCCATTTTAGTGTTTTCCTGTCTTAACATGTACCGTTCAACAGGAAAACCTTTTATAATATATATTATTTGGATATCAGCGGTATTTTGCAATCGGACAACCGTTAAATACGTAAGGTCAATGATTTATATGATATAATACAGATAAAAATTTTATTTCTCATAATTAATATAAATCAAATTTATTTATCGAGCAAAATCGTTTGATTTATATATATGTATTAACAAAATAATCAATAATAATAACATAAAAAATTGTATTTGAATATTTGAAAGGTTCTTTCAAAACATTATTTCAATTATTTTATTTAAAAAATATTGATTTTAGAACATTAAAAAAATAAATGACAAATAATTGATGTTATGTATGCAAATACATAATTATTTTTTAACAAACTAATGATATATATTTTAATTATTTTATTAAAAAAATATTGATTTTAGAACATAAAAATGAATAAATAACAAATAATTAGTGTTATATATATATATCATATTTAGTAGATTCAAAGTATATAGTATAAACAAATTGTTTAAAAAAAAAACATCTAAGTCTGTATGAAATATATTAAAGTCAATAAATTGAAATAAAAACTACTATAAAATTAATTTTCATAAATTTTATTTCTTAATTTATGATGAAAGAGATTCTTGAATTGCAAATTAAATTATAAATTAGCTCATCTCATTTTGAAAAATGAATTAATTAATTCTTTTGGTTTCAAAAATAAATTATTTAATTTTTTTAATTGGTGTTGACCACGAATAATTTATTTTTTTATTTTTAAAAATATCTTTTTCATATTTTTACTTTCTTTTATTCTTTCTCTATTTCTTAAAATAAAAAATAAAACCATTGAAATAGCAAAAAGGACAAAAAATTAGTTTTTGAACCAAGTGGACTAATGGTATTATGAATGCAAATATATAATTAATTTTCAACAAAACTACAAACACACTCACATACACACACACACACACTTAGTCGATTCAAAGTATATAGTATAAATAATATATATTTTTTAAAAAACCATTTAAGTTGTGTGGAATATATTAAATTCAATAAATTAAAATAAAAACTACTACAAAATTGATTCTTATAAATTTTATTTTTTAATTTATGATGAAAGAGATTCTGAAATTGCAAATTAAATTATAAATAAGTTCTTCTCATTTTGAAAAAAGAATGAATTAATTTTTTTGGTTTCAAAAATAAATTATTTAATTTTTTTAATTAGTGTTGATAACGAATAATTTATTTTTTTATTTAAAATGTCTTTTTTCATATTTTTATGGATTTTTTTTTATTCTTTCTCCATTTCTTTAAAAAAAAATAAATAAAAACAAAAACATTGAAATAGCACAAAGGATAAAAAAAATTAGTTTTTAAAACAAAGGAACTAGTGGTGTTATGCATGTAGATACATAATTAATTTTTAACAAAACTAATAATATATATATATATATATACATATATATATATATTATTAGATCATAGTATAAATAAATTTTTTTTAAAAACTATTTAAGTTGTATGTAATATATGAAAGTCAATAAATTGAAATAAAAACTACTACAAAATTGGTTCGCATAACTTTTACTTTTTAATCTATGATGAAAGAGATTCTTGAATTGTAAATTAAGTATAAATTGGTTCATCTTATTTTGAGAAATGAATTAATTAATTCTTTTGGTTTCAAAAATAAATTATTTAATTTTTTTATTTAGTGTTGACTACGAATAATTTTTTTTATCTTATAAATTGTCTATATATATATATATATATATATATATATATATATATATATATATATATATATTATTCTTTCTTTATTTCTTAAAACAAAAAATAAAAACATTGAAATAGGAATAAGGAAAAAAATTAGTTTTTGAACCAAATGGACTAATTAATTTGTTTCTCGAACAAAAAGGGACTACTATGAATTGCAAGTGGCTTTGGCTTCCTTGTTGAAAATAAGAAGAAAAAAATATATATTGAAAGAAGATAGGAGCATTAAATGCTCAATCTAAAAAAAAGAAGGAAATGATGAAAAGAGCCCAAAAAGAAAATTAAAAAGAGAATCAATCAAGGGTAAAAATGGAGTTTCTTAAATCCATCGAGTGGCAAAAGATAAATTAACAAAAAGATAGGGGCGAAAAATCAAGCAACACAATAAATAGTGAATTTAAATCTAAAATAATAGTAAATCAATAGTAAATATATCAATTCTTTTATTTTTTCCACTAATATATATTAAATTTAAAAATTAAAAGATAAAAATTTTATTTAATTTCATAATTTTTAATCAAATTTTGTATTTCATTTGTGCTTCTTTATGCTTTTCATGGGTTTTGTTATGAAAAAGAAAGATTTATTTATTTTTTTATTCATTCGTTCTTAAATGAAAACCTACAATAATATAAATATAAAATTTAATAATTTTTTTTTTAA